CAAACATACCTCGGTTAAAAGTTTTTTTTGTTTGTTTTTCCTCGGCCATGTCAAGATTAGTTGGGAATGATTCTAGGCTGAGCTCTGAACGCGAGTATGAAACAGACGGATGTCTTAGACTGGAAGACTGACGGACGCATAGAGTACTTTGGGAGGGTAGAGGAAGGGACAGGGTCTGATGTCGTAAGCAGGGAGGCTTCCTGGAGGAGGCGATGCCTGAGCAATGTACCAGAAGGGGTAAGATCTTAAGCCTAGCTCCACCTCCACAAACCCTATGGTTTGGGGCTAGTTACTTAACTTCCCTAAACACAAGTTGCCTCACCTATAACTGGAATGATAACATTTGGCTCACTATTTCATATCCCTGGGCTTTAAGGAAATTGCACTACCCTCCTTCCTTTTCCACTACCCTCTCCTTCTGCTTTATTGTCTGAACTCAGTTCAGTGTGGTTGTGGGGAGTACCCAAGGCTCACCCTTTGGGCCTCTTTGAGTTTTGGTTTACACTGTCTCCGTTGGTCACCCTGCCTGTAGCCGTATCTCATCCAGGCTCCAACTGAGTCTGCCCACGTGTCATTCCATGCTGTGCATCTGCACACAGACACCTGCCAAGCATTTTAAATTCAACAAGTGTGCGGCCAAATTTGCTATTCCTTCCCTAAATCCTTCCCTTGACTTTGGAATGGATAGTTCTTCTAAACAGGGCCCCTGGTCTCACAGACACCAAACTTCTGAGTCATCTTGAACACTTTCTCCCCCACTTGTTCCTTATCTAATCAGTCACCGAATTCTGTGAGTTCTTCCTTTGAAACTTCTTTGATCAGAACAGACGCAGACACTTCCATGGCTATAGTAATCGTGTCAGGCGTTTTATAGAGTAATAAGGCTATTTCGTCATTATAGATTTATTAGTTTGAAGACGAAAAGACATTTCTATTCTCCAATCTTAACAGCCTGAACTATTGCATAGATAGTAAAATTGGGTCTTTGCTCACGGTCACCTTTGCTGCGGCATCTTGCACACGACGTCCAACCTGTCCTTGGACTTCTCTGCTGAAGATGTTCAACAGTCCATCAACGCTTCTGAGTAGCAGAAGAGGAAGAAGCCTTGTGTTTAAGGCTCCCATGTCTCTTGCCAGACCATCTCTTGCCCTCTTCACCACTTCCTCCATGGTTGTAGTTCACTCCCCCATCTTCTCTGTAACCTTACTGTTCTTGGAAGCAACTAACCTTGTTCTGACTGCAAACATGTGCTCATACCATACTTATCACCTCTCATATTTTTTCCCCATTGCACTGATGATATTCATTCGTCATATTTAGCTGAATCACCAGGTCGTTGGCCTCCTCCACCCTGGTGGCCATGGTCTTTTCTCTCTTTTTGATCCCGCCCCCCCCCACTATACCGGCTCTGGCATTCTCATAGCACTTGTCCCATAACACCTCCGTCGTAGATCACAGAGTCATGAACACAAGTTTTGGCACTTTCTTAATGCGCTTCGGAATACTATGTGCACCTCAGTTTACTAAACGTCTTTGATTTAGTCATTGTATGGTTTCTGGGACAGAGTGACAGCCATGTTCCCTAACCTCTGCCAAAGTCATAGACTTACGTGCTATTTTTTTTTCAACGTTTATTTATTTTGGGGACAGAGAGAGACAGAGCATGAACGGGGGAGGGGCAGAGAGAGAGGGAGACACAGAATCGGAAACAGGCTCCAGGCTCCGAGCCATCAGCCCAGAGCCCGACGCGGGGCTCCAACTCACGGACCGCGAGATCGTGACCTGGCTGAAGTCGGACGCTTAACCGACTGCGCCACCCAGGCGCCCCTTACGTGCTATTTTTTAAAAATGTTGTCGACCTACTGACACAAACCTACCATTTTGGAATTGGAAAGCTCTGCAGAGACTATTTCATTTCCACTCCATGCTCTTTCTAAGTCAAAGTGGGAATGAGGCCTTAAGGGGCAGAGTGACTCATTGAGAACACACAGCTAGTTTCAGGAAGATCAGTTCTGAAGACTTGAGTCAACTGTTGACACCAGAAGCAGCTGGATTCCCTAAGCACCTCCCAAAGGTCTTAATTCAGTGTTCTCTCTTTAGAAGAAATCTTTGCCAACTGGTCCCAATAAAAAGAACGTTGTGTGGTAGAACTGGAGAAGTATAGGTTTTGGAATCAGACAAACCGGATGTAGATTCAGGCCTGGTCACTTGTTGGCTGCATGGATTCTGGAAACTTACTTAACCTTTCAGCATCTGAAAAAGTGGACAATGATTTCCACTTCTGGAAATGGTGTTAATAAAATGGGGTAATGTGTATGAAGCATCTGGAACGCATTTATTTATTTATTTATTTATTTATTTATTTATGTATGTATGTATGTAGGTATGTTTATCTTTGAGAGGGAGAGACAGAGTGCTATCGCAGAAGGGACAGAGAGAGAGAGAGGGAGACACAGAATCCGGGGCAGGCTCTAGGCTGTCAGCACAAAACCCCCGAACTATGAAATCATGACCTGGGCCAAAGTCGGATGCGTAACCAACTGAGCCACCCAGGCACCCCTGAAGCCATTGTTTAAAAGAATCCTTGTAACTTACCAAATTGCATATTTCATTTTTCTCAATGCATAGGTTTTTATAGCATCTTTTTTCTAAATTGAGTAAATGGGTACTGGATTCCTTTCTTTCCCTTTGCCCTCAAAATGTTGAAATTTTAGGTGGTCACAGTATTACCCAGTTGTTCTTGGAAAAGTTCCTTTTTTTTTCTTTTTTATCGAGAACAATATATTTTGGAAGGTGAGTGTAGCTAAACTGGGTGTTAAAGATCTTTTTTAGAAAACCCTTTTCAGAGCTCATTGTTTTCCTGGATAAAAAGGTATTACATTCACTTAATAAACAGAAAGTTCTAATGGGCCTCAAAGTTTTCTGACAGGTCTTAAGGTAGTGGCCTTGACCTTCAGATCTTCTTCATGATGCCACCTTGCCTTTCACACCAATTTGCCTATAAATGTAGGACAGAAGGGGATGGTGGTTAAGGTCACGGGAGCCTCTTAGGGAGAATACACAAAGATCTGGTATGAATTCCAGAACACTGCTGGGCCCTGATATACTTTGGTTTTATTTCACATATGGGAGTAAAACCAAGGTGTTTTAATATCAAGTATGAGGGTCACAGTAGATAATTTTAGGTGCCCCTGCCCAACTTCTAAACTCTACAATGTTTGGGCTTTTTTTTTTTTTTTAAGTTTATTTATTTTGAGAGAGAGAGAGCGAGAGAGAGAGTGCAGAAGCGGGGGAGGGACAGAGAGAAAGGGTGAAAGGGAGAATCCCAATCAGGCTCTGCATTGTCAGGACAGAACCTAACTCCAACTCAGGGCTTGAACTCACAAACCAAGAGATCAAGAGTGGACGCTTAACTGACTAAGCCACCTGGGTGTCCCTAAACTCTAGAATGTTTTAATACTGATAGGTTTCCGTGAAAGACTACAGGACTTCCTTTCCTGGAATGCCCATACAATTGGTTCTAGCACTGGGTGACACTGGGTTCATCCAGTTCACTACACTAAGCATGAGCCAGAGAAACTGGTATTGTCGAAACTGTTGTTTTCCTTCTTCTAAATCTCGTACTAACATAAAAAGAGTGATCAAAAGCATTTAGGAAAGAGTATCATGACAGGATGCCACAAATACCCCCCCCCCCCCACAGCTGGTCCACGGACCAAGGCACATTTCCAAGATTTCACCTAACAAGGTAAGGTATTTGAGGGAATAGGAAAACCTAGGGTAGGCCTCTGCTAACCAGATCCAGGTGAATTACTAAAGGAAAATGTTCTTGGGGTTACTCTCCATGAAGAGGAGTAACCAGCCTTTCCATCAATGTCCTTTCCTGTTTCTGACAGAGACAGTGCTGGCCTGGTGAGGGTGGGAGTCCGGGGGGGATCATTACTCTGACCACCACCATGTAGATTTGTGTTTCTTAAACTGCTGCCCAGTGGAATCACCTGGAATGCTCTAAATCATCCTGCTGCCCCCTTCCGATCCCCAGAGATTCTAATCTAGCTAGTCTGAGGTGCAGTTTGAGCATCTGGAATTTTTAAAAGCTACCCACGTGATTCCAATGTGTAGCTAGTATCGCAAAGCACTGGCATATACGTAAAGTCTTCCAGCAAACTCTCCTCTTAAAACCACCACCCTATCATTTCGTTTTCTGGCGTTTGGTTTCTGTTTCGGCATTTTTCTCCCCACCCAACACACACGCGCGCGCACACACACACACACACACCCGCAGGATGGTGAATTTCTCCCAGCAGGCGGACTGAAATCGTCCCAAAGTGGAATTCATGAGCTGTCCTTGGTAAATGAGAACGCTGGCGAGGAAAGTGATTCCCGCCCAAGCACAGAATGAACAATGGCCACTCCTTGCTGTGCTGCTCGACCTTTCTTGGGCCATTTCCCACTTGCAGTTTTCAGATTAGGAACTGTCCTGGGAGACCACACAACTTTTTTTTTTTTTTTTTCCCTATTCTGGTTGGCATTTGACAGACCTCTAGTTGAAGGCACCAGGTCCCTGGGCAGGCACTCTCTCAGCCTCCAAGAGCTACCTCGGAACCCGAGGCACCTTCCTTTCCGCCTCAAGACCGCTTACTTTCCTGGTAACCTAACTGAGATTCCTGGGGAACCAAGCCAACGCCACTCGCTTCTCCTCCGTTCCCCCCAGTTTTTTACTTGGAAGGCAGATATTTACATTTGCAGATGGGAGCTCACCGCAGGCCCCACCCCAGCAAAGAGAAAAAGCGAGCTCCTCTCCCGGCCCCTTATCCGCCTTTCCAAGTCTGGGATCCCTGGGGGCGGGTGACGCGAGAGCCCCCGCCCTCGCCCTCGCCCTGCCCCGCCCCGCACCTGGTGCAGCAAACTCCCCCACCCGTCTCTTTGCCCCACCCTTGGTGATTCAGAGCGCCAGCCCCGCCCAGGCGCTAATTTAACTCGCCCGGCGGAACCGTCGGGCGCTGCTGCTAGTTACGGCTCCTTGCTGGAGCCGCTTGGACTCGCTCAGGGTCCCCGTCCCCGCGCGCCATGGGTCCCGCGCGGCGGAGCGTCCTCGCAGCGCTGCGTTTCCTTGGCGGGCTGAGCGTGCCGCTGCTGCTGCTGTGTCCACCCGCCGCGCAGGGTGAGCGGGGGACCCGGGTGGGGGGGCAGCCCCCCTGGGTGAACCCTTAGTCCGCGTGGGAGGGGCTGGATCCGTCTCCGCGGAGACCGGGAAGTCTGGGGACCCGGGGGAGGTGAGGAATGCGGGCACGGGTAATTGTTCCCGTAATCCTCTACCCTTGAGGCTCAGAGCTCCCACTAGCACGACCCCTTGGGGACAGGGAGAGGATCGCCGCTGCTAAACTGCAAGTTTTGGGGTCTTGGGGTGCCGGCCCCCAGCTCGCGTGGCTTTAGGAGTGAGGCGTGGACGGTTGAGGAAGCGCGGGCTGAGTCTGCGGAGCAGCGGAACACGGGGAACCCAAAGGGCAGGGCTCAAAGAGTGAATGCTCAGCCTCCCCTCCCCCCCAAAACATCTCTTTAAGGGTGGGTGGCCAAAGAGTTGACCACTCTCACCTCTTACACAGTTGGGTGCTACACGGGACGCTACAAGTTTGCGCGTCTTCTTTGGGTAGTAACGTCCGGAGGGGGCGTCTGTCTTCATTGTGCGCTTAGCAACTGTATGCGTGTTCTAAACCACTTTACAAACAAAATAATGAAGGGAAGGGGTTCCTTCCTTATTTTAGCACTGAATTAATTGACAAGAATGGCAGCCTAGCAAGTTCCTGGATGGAACTTGGAAGTTCAGCGCTGGATGGAACTGTTACATGTGTATCAAAGGCCCTTGCCGCTTCCCTTACTCCTCTGGGAAAAGGTATGTTGCTGTGAATTGAAAAGTACTAATTCCTTCAGTAATTTTTTTTTTTTTTCTCCCTAGGTGACTGCAGCTTGCCCCCAGAGGTACCTAATGCCCACCCAACTCTGAGTGATCGTGATCTTAAGAGTTTTCCTGAAGGAACCACAGTAACATACAAATGTAATGAAGGCTTTGTAAAAGTCCCTGGCAAGCCAGACTCCGTGATCTGTCTCAGTAACAATCAATGGTCGGAGGTGGCAGCATTTTGTAACCGTAAGTTCTTAATTTTTTTGTATGTAAGTTATGGGAATGGAATGTATCTTGTTAGCTTAATTTTATCCCTCTTCGCAGTGACTGGTAATTGATAGTTTTCAAGCATTATTAAACCCCAGGGTATAGCTGGCACTTTACCTTGCAGCTAATTGACTGTCATTACTTCCCAGAATAGGTCCTGCTTCTTCGTTAACAGGTTTGGGGTTTCTGTTGTTTTTTGTTTGTTTGTTTTGTTTTTTTGTGGGTTTTTTTGTTGTTGTTGTTGTTGTTGTATCCCCTTAATGCTGTACCTCCTGAAATAATAGAGAAAATAAACAATAGGTACAACGTAGGAAGTAAATTATATATGTTTGGCAATCACCTTGAGACACATAACAGAGGTCTGTTTTCTTAAATTTCATTTTGGAAGGTAGGACTTAGCGAATACCACTCTGTGGTGGTGTTTTAAAAAGTTCTCTGTTTTTACCTCCAAATCTATCATTAGAGGCATAGTCCTGCATTAGCTTTGACATATACAAGTAAACATAAAGGTAAGACTTGGTTCCTAGCTTTGGACAACCTGCAGTAATAGAAGGTACATAAATACAGGACCTGCCACAAGTGTTTTTTGCAACCAGGTGTGAAATCAGCTTTAACTTTTTGTTTTTACGTATCCATGATTTCAGAAGGCAGTGTGTTGAAGTAAGTAGGCCTTTGAGCATGTATCAAGTTTTAGAGTTTATAACCCTTCTACATATATTGAGTTGGGTGGGGACTCTTCCCCCCATTTTACAGCTGGAAAACAGTCCCCCAGAAGTGAGATAACTTCTTGAGATCAGCAGTTCTAATGCACGAGAGCCAGCGTCTGAACTTGAGCCTTTGGACTAGACATCCAATGTCCCTTCCACGATCCCATGCTTCTCCAAATTCACAATTGCCCAGACATTTACAGTTAATACTTTTATGTACATTATTGGCCCATCTGATCCTTGGCCTCCTGGGTTGTTAGGATTAAATGAGTTTTTACATGTATAAGACATTTAGAAGTATTCAACAAATATTAGCTATTACTGTCACTGGTATTGTCATTGCCCAGGACATTAGCCCAGGAGTCTGGAAATACTGGTTTTCATCTGATCTCCTCCCCATCCTCCATAGGGCAAATAATCGTCAGTGCCAGAACTGTGCCAGCAATTTAAATGGGTTCTACTTCCTGCATTGTGGGCATAGTGATATCTACATACCCAATTTACTTCATAAGCATACGTGTGAATATGCTCGATGTGCTGTAAATGTCATAGTCATATTAACATGGTCAAATACCAAATATGTACAAAGAAGTACAGAAAAAGGCGTGATGTAAAGGATCAAATAATTCTGGATAATTAAACATAGATTATAAAACAAAGTGATGTTACCTATGTTGTTGCTCTTGTTCATACTTTCAGGTAGCTGCGATGTTCCACCCAGGCTACGTTTTGCATCGCTCAAGAGGTCTTTTAGCAAACAGAATTATTTCCCCGAGGGTTTCGTCGTGGAATACGATTGCCGTCCGGGCTACAGAAGGAACCAAACTCTCTCAGACAAACTAACTTGCCTTCAGAATTTTACGTGGTCCATACCAGATGAATTTTGTAAAAGTGAGTATAATTTTACAGAGTATTCTCAATCATACGGTATTTGGGGAAATAGTATTTCTTCCTTCATTCATGCCAGAAGTCTACGTGTGCCTGTCATTATTTGGAATTTCTGAAAAGAACCATTAATTTTATTTTAAATTAGGCAAACTAAGTACTCGTGAGATAGGAATATTAATTAACTCACACATTTCACATTTAATTAGTTTAAGGCCACCTCAGATGTAATGAGTGTATATTCTAAATACGTTATTTGAAACTAACCATATGAAAGCAGTGTATGAAACGTCTACAGATAAGAAGTGACATGCATTTGCATAGATGTGCCTGATAATCTAATGAAAAAATAAATTTGTGCTCTCTTCTAGAAAAATCCTGTCCTACTCCTGGAGATATAACACATGGTCATGTCAGTATAACGACTGACATATCATATGGTGCATCTATTTCCTTCTCGTGTGACACAGGGTACGTCTGGGCGTAGTTTGTATTTATACTCTATATTTAATTAGTGTGAAAACAGGATGGAAGGTGTAAGTGTTTACATTTGTGGTCAGTGTTTTCAAGCTAGTCTCCATAAAACGAGTCCTCTGCTCAAAGATCTTTCATCATGAGCTCATCACAGTTACGTGTAATAAAATGGGGCAAGGAAAGACAATTTCTTGTAACATCAAATTCCCTCAATTGCTAGATTTCAGTACGTCTATGATTCACTAGAACGTTTTAAATGTGATTGGCGAAGGAAGAAAAACATGTTTGCACTTGCAGAAATTAAGTCCTTCAATGGTTCAAATGAAACCAGTCCTTCATTTGCCTAAATTTACCATATTTTCTTCTATATGCAAATGGCCTGTTAGAAAGTATGATGTGTTAAAGACATTTATTCCTAGTGTGGAAATACCATTCTGCCCTGAGGTCTTTTCTAAGTCCCATACGTACGGAAGAGGAACTCACTCATTGAGTATCATCAGTGTCTCGGACACTTCTGGAAACTTTATGTTCATTTTCTCATTGAATATCTGCGCATTGAGTTATGATATTTTACTCCATGTGTGTGTGTGTGTGTGTGTGTGTGTCCCTGCTCTTTAGAAAATAAAAATACCAGCATCACTTGTCTCCTGTATGAAACAGAGACGTTTGGATCATTAATATGATTAATATCAAATCTGGGGAGTACTTTGAACCCTTAAAATATGTTCTCTTATTCTGTGAACGCCTTATTGATCATTTAGCATTCAGAAATATAAAATATCCAAACATCTGTATCACCGTAAAATGTTTCAAAACACTTTCATGTTCTCTCACACGGACTCCACCCAAATCAAAAATGTTTTGCCTGTCTCCTACCTTTTTTTCGTTTGGATATCACCTTTTTCAAAGTAAATTTTTCTTTTCCTTTACACTGCCATGTAAACTTTGATCAACTATTGTCTCGTCTCCATCTACGGGGATAGTAAATATTTTAAGGTGATAATTCTGGAGAATTTAAACGAAGTCAAACACGTGCGGATGAGACCTAACTTTTCTCTCCATTCATTGTTTTAGGTATAGGCTAGTAGGTTCAGCTTCTAGTTACTGTTCCCTTGTAGACCAGGCTGTGGAGTGGAGTGACCCATTGCCAAAATGCGAAGGTAAGACTGAAAAAAACCTAAGTGCTCTGGTGGTAAGGCTGAATAATCAGTGGTAAATTACGCTCTTATTTCTTTTTTAAGTTTATTTATTTTTGAGAGAGACGAAGACAGCGCAAGTGGTGGGGGTGGGGTGGGCAGAGAGAGAGGGAGAGGGAGAGGGAGAATCCCAAGCAGCTCTGTGTTGTCAGCGCAGAGTTGGACGCGGGGCTTGAACTCATGAAACTGGAAGATCATAACCTGAGCCGGAACCAAGAGTCGGTGCTTAACCGACTAAGCCACCCAGGCGCCCCTGCGTTACTTTCTCTCATTAAGAATTATCCACAGTGTATATTTGTAGTACCCTTACTTTCCAATGTAGGAATGTCTTAGCTACTTTATCAGTAATGTATCTTACTTTATTAGTTATGGAGATACAGGATTAAAAACCCAACAAACTCCAAAACACACACACACACACACACACACACACACACACACACACAAAAGCCAACAAACTGAGATATGTATTGTGCTCAGTCGTACATTATCCTTCTAACAATCAAGCAAAATAGATACAGAGTTTTTCTTCCCCCACAATTTTTAATTTTATGGATTAAAATACTTTTTATCAGAGAATCTATATGATCTGACCCTACATCCCAACATAAGTGGCAAGAGAAGGCATTTAACCCAGACTTCTGGATTCAAATCCATTATTTTCCTAAAACCCAGTGTTGCCTATCTGCCTCTTGTGGGATTATGAGCTGAGCTAATTGTCAATAAATGTTCTCAAGTGTGATTTATTTTTCATCATTAGAGAAATAAAGTTATACAATATAGAAGAAATATGATTTCTGCACTTGAGGATCTTATCTGCTAAAAGGGAGGTAGGGTACAGAAATAATATCATACATACATGTATCAAGCCAAATTTATATCCACTCTAGACATAGGTCTCCTGAAAATTGAGAGGGGTAAAATCCATGGAACATATTTCTTTTTTCTTCTTAAGAAAAAAATGTAGCATTTAAAAATGTAGACTTGAGGGGTACCCGAGTGGGTGCAGTTGGCTGAGTTCTGGCTCTTGACTTTGGCTCAGGTCATGATCTCACGGTTCGTGAGACTGAGCCCCACATCGGGCTGCATGCTAACAGTGCACAGCCTGCTTGGGATTCTCTCTCTGCCTCTCTCTCTCTCTGCCTTTCTCTCTGTCTCCGTCTCTGTCTCTATCTCATTCTCTCTCTCTCTCTCTCTTTCAAAAATAAATAAACATTTCTTAAAAACTTTTAAAATGTAGGCTTTATTTCTCCCATCTTTGCTAAAATCATTGCTAAGTTCAAGTTTTTGGTGTTATTAGGAGCAGGAAACTAGAATAGACTTAGCGTAATTTGTCCAGCACGTATTGATGGGCACACTGTAGGAGGCAATGTGTGGGGTCAGTTGATATGAAGACAAATAAATGGAAGCCTTGCCAGCCAAGAGCTTACAGGAGTAAGCTGATCACACCCACACCCTCCTTGTGCTCACTCCACCCGCCTCTCTCTGCTACATCTTTGTCTCGTTGTTATTACTTCGAAAATTTTAGCATTACTGCCCCCCACCATCTTTCCCATTTCCACCATCCAGCAGGGGATGTTGTGCATGATACTAGAGTAAGTTTGGACGGCAAAGAGGAACCAGACTGTATTTTTTTCCTGACACAGACAACTTGTCCAGGAGTCTGGACAAGCAGTCTCCTGGTCTGAGGCTGCGATCTTCACAAGCAACTGCTGTCAGGAACTTCACAGACATGTGGACACCAAGCACGTAACCCAGCACAGTAGAGCTTCTGCACTGCAAACACACTTTCTCTTCATGTTTGGCCGGGGCTGGGCCACAGTCCTACTCCCTGTCTGGTAACTTGAACTCCATTTTCCTCTTTGACTGGGGTTCCTGTTTTCCTCTTTGATTGTTCTATCCATTTCGCAGTTCAGCGACCACGGACACCTGTGTCTTGCAAAAAAGGAGCCCTTTTTCCTTAAAAAACCTGTGCCTTCAGCTATCCCGATAAAGCCCAGTTCTTTTAGGCTCTGATTCTCATTTTCCACGTGACTTAATTTTTCTGTTTGGACAATGCCAAAGGATGAAGTGGAAAATACACATTCTTAAACAGTGAGCTGCCTCACCTTAAGTACACAGCCGTGGCCTCTGGACACACTAGAGTGCTTTAATGTCAGCGTGTAGATTGAGGAAGGAAAGAAAAGGTTAAGAGGTCAAGATGTGTCCTTGTTATACATCAAACTTCGGTAGTGCTTGGTCCTTTCTGAATGAAGCTTCAATGTCAGAAGGATCTGTTTTCCTATCTTTCTCCCAATGTTTTCTTTTTTTTTTTTTAATTTTTATTGTTTATTTATTTCTGAGAGAGAGAGAGAGAGAGAGAGAGACAGAGTGTGAGCAGGGGAGGTGCAGAGAGAGAGAGGGAGACACAGAATCTGAAGCAGGCTCCAGGCTCTGAGCTGACAGCTCAGAGCCCGATGTGGGGCTCAAACCCAAGGACCGCAAGACCATGACCTGAGCAGAAGTCGGACGCTCAACCGATTGAGCCACCGGGGTGCCCTTCCCAATGTTTCCTTTTTTCAGAAGTACCTTTAGTGAACTGCTATCCCCTGCAATCCTGGAATATATCTGTATAATATCTGCCATCCAAGACCCATCCCATTATCTTCACCTCCCACTTCTAATCACTAAATCGTTTTGCTTTATCTCCTTAATATACTTCCAAACCTGTGTCTTATCCTCCATCTGTATGACTTCTGTGTGGTTGATTATCCTTCATCTGGACTCTTGCGGTAAGGGCCACTCCTAACATTTTCAAGGGCCCAGAGCAAATCTAAATGGAGGTTCGTGACCTAAGACCCAATCTGTCTCAAATAGGTATCCCCTTCTGTCGCTGTGAGAAGTCTCTGATGCCTGTCAATGGACCACTCGGCCCACACACCCAAGCCATGTGCCCTGTGACCTTTTTTTCCCACTCCACTGAACTTTGGGCTGCAGATGTACACATCGACAGTATAGACCATTCTCAACAATCGGGACCATGTGATTGCTTCCACAGCATATATACTAAAATTGGGACGATACAGAGATTAGCGTGGCCCTTGCTCAAGGATGACACACAAATTTGTGAAGTGTTCCATATTAAAAAAAAAAAAAGTAGAATACAGACCAGGAGAAGGGACCTTTCAGGCCCTGCAAAGGGTGCTGGCACAGGGAATTCTGGGCCAGTTCCTAGAGCATGATTTACAGCGGGAGTGGAGGGGGAGCTCGCAGTGAGCACGCCTTCGTGCCCTGCAGATATCCCACCCAGTAGGGAGAGGCACAGTCAGAGGAGGGCCACAGTGTAGCATTTTAAAGTGTGGGAGCCAGGGGCGTCTGGGTGGCTCACTTGGTTCAGCATCCAACTTCGGCTCAGGTCATGATCTCACGGTTCGTGAGTTTGAGCCCCACATCTGTGCTGATGGTGCAAGGCCTGCTTGGGAGTCTCTCTCTCTCTCTCTCTCTCTCTCTCTCTCTCTCTCTCTCCCCCTCTCCCTCTCTCCCTCTCTCTCTGCCCCTCCCCACCCCGTCTATCTCAAAATAAATAAAACTTAAAAAGAAAATAAAGTGTGGGAGCTAGGGCAAGAGTCCCCACTTGCCTGAGCTCAAAAGTGACACTGTTCGCAATAGCCCCATCCTCTATTCTTGTAATATTTCATTCACACGCTACCCAGAGTGATGCATCTGAAACACAAATGTGTCTCATCTCTTCCTTCTTAAAGCTGATCCTTGTCTCCTCGTCACTTACAACGTCCAGACTCCTTGGTGAAGCATACAAGGCTAGCCGTGGCCTTCCTACTCCGTGCTTATGTATTGCCCTCATACTTCATGCTGTACCACACTCACTGCCCTCCCGTTTTCCTTCTGTGACTGCCTCTGCCTGGAGTGTCCTTTGGCCCCTTCAATTGCAGGACTTGTCTTTTTTTTCTTATTGAGGGTTTGCTTTGATAGTCCTTCTAGAAGTTTCTCCTGACCTTCCAGCTGGTTAACTGTCCTTCTTCTCTCTTTCCACACCACGGAACACACTTCTGCCGAAAGTCTCCCTATCTTGTGTTAAAATTAAAATCTTTTGTATTTAGTTAAAGATCAAATTAAAATCTTTTTTGTCACTCTGCTTGAAGACCCAGGACTTAATATCTTCTTTAGTTTTGCAATTCTGTTTCTAGAACAATGCCTGGTATGCATTAGGCACTCGGAAAATGTCTGAACTGTACCGATGGTGATATGTGTTGTTATCAGACCCAAGCCCAGAGCAAAGCAGACTAACTTGTTTTTGCTCCTTGCTTTGATCGATGGCCTAAAAGTAATTTATAAATTTTCTAGTATTCTCTGGTTACTTAAGGCCGCTCGATGTATACAGGTGATCACATTGCTTTCCTGATTCAAGGGAAAAAAAATAACAAACAACGTCATGGCTCTAGAGAATGTGGAACCATTGCATTGTTTTTTTAATCAGGGCAACTTCTAGAGAGAGGTCTCTTTTTATAGTATAACCAGAGAGACTCTGCTTGTATTTGTTTGACATATTCCACTGCTCAATAAATTTACGTGAAGTAAAAGGCTGTGAGTCAATACATGCTTAAAAAAATTTATCCTAAAGGTTAAAATGTAATGCTGACATTTAAGGTATTTTGCTCTGTCAAAATGATCTATTCGTATTTCCCAAGTATGCCACTTAACTACTTTATTTTTTTAAGGTTGATTCATTTTTCAGAGACAGACAGAGTGTGAGTGGGGGAGGGGCAAAGAGAGAGGGAGACACAGAATCTGAAACAGGTTCCAGGCTCTGAGCTGTCAGCACAGAGCCCATTGCAGGGCTCAAACTCACAGACCATGAGATCATGACCTGAGCTGAAGTCTCAAAAGCTCAACTGACTGAGCCACCCAGGCACCCCGCCTCTTGACTTCTAAGCTCCTTTCATTTAGCATCATTTTTCCCTGGAATAAAGAGCAATGCCCTCTTCTCTGCTGTCTTCGCAGAAGGGTACATCACAGTATTAAATTCAAGTTCCATATCCTCCTTAAAATCTCTGTCCTGCTTTCACTTCTGAACTCTGGCAGTATTTACTTTTTTCTAGCACAATTTGATCTGGAATATGTGCAGACTTTATTGTAATTTTTGCTTTACATATATGTTCTAAATCTTATTTATTTATTTTTTAATATATTTTGAGAGAGAGAGAGAGAGCAGGGAAGGGGTTTGAGACAAGGGAAGAGAGAGAGAGAATCCCAAACAGGCTCCATGCTGTCAGAGCAGAGCCTGATGCAGAGCGAGATCCCACAGACTGTGAGATCATGACCTGAGCCAAGATCAGGAGTCAGATGCTTAAATGCCTAAGCCAACCAGTCACTCCTGTTCTAAATCTTATTTCTATACATTGGTTTCAATGTTAGCATTCATGTTTTACAACATTTGCATCCAAAGCTCCAAATATGTTCTCGTTACTTAATATGTATTTATAAGCATCCCTTGTTGATGATGCTGAATTTAGAGAAATGGTAGATTTTTAATTCTTTAAAATAATTTAACATATCTTAGTCTTATGTAAAAATACCTTGGAAGGGGCGCCTGGGTGGCGCAGTCGGTTAAGCGTCCGACTTCAGCCAGGTCACGATCTCGCGGTCCGTGAGTTCGAGCCCCGCGTCGGGCTCTGGGCTGATGGCTCAGAGCCTGGAGCCTGTTTCCGATTCTGTGTCTCCCTCTCTCTCTGCCCCTCCCCTGTTCATGCTCTGTCTCTCTCTGTCCCAAAAATAAATAAACGTTGAAAAAAAAATTAAAAAAAAAAATAAAAATACCTTGGCAGTTTTATTAATTTAAAATATGTTGGAATTTTTTAAAGAAATTGTTTGTCCAGAACCACAAGAAATTAGCAACGGAATCATTCAAAATCCACGGAAAACCTATGTGTATCAACAGTCTGTAAAATATCAGTGTAATCCAGGCTTTACCCTGATCGGAGAGAACTCTATTTATTGTACTGTCAAAGATGACCAAGGAGAATGGAGTGGCCTGCCCCCTGAATGCAAAGGTAATCAGTTTGCATAGTTATGTTTTTGTTTTATTTTTACCTTTAGGAGTATATGTGGGCTACAGAGATTCCATGAACCCCCTGAGAAATGAATGTACGATGTTGTACGTGTGCATATCTGCATTTTTCTGGGGGACACAGTTTTTTATCAGATCCTCAGAAGAGGGGCGCCTGGGTGGCGCAGTCGGTTAAGCGTCCGACTTCAGCCAGGTCACGATCTCGCGGTCCGTGAGTTCGAGCCCCGCGTCGGGCTCTGGGCTGATGGCTCAGAGCCTGGACCCTGTTTCTGATTCTGTGTCTCCCTCTCTCTCTGCCCCTCCCCCGTTCATGCTCTGTCTCTCTCTGTCCCAAAAAAAATAAATAAACGTTAAAAAAAAAAAATTAAAAAAAAAAAAGATCCTCAGAAGAGTCTATGGGTTACAAGAAAGAAAGAACTACTGATATGGAGAACATATGATACTGTATAAATAAATACATACATATACACACACAGCATATACAAATACACACGCGTGCACACACTCACACACACACTCACACACACACACACACCGTAATGTCTCATGCTATAGTGAATTAGCTTAAGTTTGCTACTTCTTCCCATATTACTTTCAATGAGTTAATACTCATACAAAGGTCCGTAGCGTGGCTTATTTTATTCAGTTAGGAGGGAAAGTTAGATAGTTAGACTATCTAGGATCTAGATTGTAGTCCCAGTAGGTGGTATTTGTTTTAGCAATGTCATGTTTGAGTGCCGGTATAACTCAAGCAAATGCTACTTTTATAATTATACTTGGAATTGCATTGGCATGGATTTTTAAACATCAGTGTTTGTGAAAAGTAGGTTTGTGTTATAAATGGTGTACATTAACAGAGCAGTAATATTAAAACCATGCAGACTAGTGTAAAATGAGAAGTAAACCCTCAGAAGTGACCGCTGTTCACAAATTTTCGTGTTCGATTCTAGAAAATAAACATACATACGCATATTTTTTTTACAACATTTATTTTTTTAATCATAGCTGTTGTACGGATGTATCATTTATTTAACCTGTTGAGGGGAATTTAGTTTTTGATTCTAGTTTGCTTTGTAAATTATTATGACAAAAGATGCTGCAAGGAATATTATACATCTGGAATTGCACGTGTGGGCAAGTACATTTTGTACAATAAATTCCTTGCAGTGTAATTACTGAAGCAAAGGTATACGCATTTGAACTTTTGATAGATGTTATCAACACTGTTTCCAAAGAAAATGTAGCAATTTACTGTCCTACCCATATCGCGTCATTGTGCTGGTTCTCTGCACAGTTAATGAGCATGGTTATTATGATGTGGAGATGAGACAATATAAGCAGTGAACATTTCATTTTACTGTTTGAGTTAATTTAATTATGGGTGAGGTTTGATATGTGTTTTTTTTCCCCCCTAATCTATTTGACACATGTCATGGTTACTTTACCCTGCTTTATTAAATTATCAGTTATTTAGAGCTTACAACTCTAGGGTAGTGCCCAAGTAGGCCATGGTAGGCTAATGTTTCTATTACCATAACTGCCAAATCTGGATCCATTATTTTAAGTCATATTTTTTAAATTCATTATTATTTTTTTTTAATTTTTTTTAATGTTTATTTATTTTTGAGACAGAGAGAGACAGAGCATGAATGGGGGAGGGGCAGAGAGAGAGGGAGACACAGAATCGGAAGCAGGCTCCAGGCTCTGAGCCATCAGCCCAGAGCCCGACGTGGGGCTCGAACTCACGGACCGTGAGATCGTGACCTGAGCTGAAGTTGGACGCTCAACCGACTGAGCCACCCAGGCGCCCCCATTTTTATTTTTTGAGAGAGAGAGAGAGAAAGAGAGCAGGGGAGGGGCAGAAAGAGAGAGAGGAGGAGAGAGAATCCCAAGCAGGCTCCATGATGTGGGGCTCGAACTCATGAACCGTGAGATCATGACCTGAGCTGAAATTCGAGAGATGGCCCCTTAACCGATTGAGCCACCTAGAGACCCCCTTTTAAGTCATATTTTTAAAGGCATAAGCTACAAGTCCTGGGAACAAGGAGGACTGCATGAACTCGAATTCCTGGGGGTGGTGAGTGAAGGCAAGATGTTCTGAGGTACACCTGGGCTGGGGATTCGTCGCAACTCACATAAAAAAAAACCACTGCCAGGAAAGAGAGAAGTGGGCAAAGCTTTTATTTATTTATTTTTAAATTATTTTTTAATGTTTACTTATTTTTGAGAGAGAGAGAGAGACCAAGCATGAGCAGGGAAAGGGCAAAGAGAGAGGGAGGCACAGAATCCAAAGCAGGCTCCGGGCTCTGAGTTGTCAGCCCAGCGTGGCTTGAACCTACAAACCACGAGATCATGACCTGAGCCCAAGTTGAACGCTTAACCGACTGAGCTACGCAGGTGCCCCAAGAAATGGGCAAAGCTTTTAATGGTTCTGGTGGGTTAGGAAAATACATGGAAAATTGAGGTCCTCACATGCAGTGCTGGTTTCTCCACAAGGTCATTTGCTGATTTCTGGGCTGCAGGGGAGACTGGGGTGTTAGACCCAGAGCTTCCAAAGTACAAAATGAAATTCCTCAGATCTTAATGGTATTTGAGCAATGAATACCTATCTGAGGAAGAAGCTTGGATCAAGCACACAGCCAGTCTCCCCCTTAAGATATTTGTGACCATTTTGAAGCTGTGTGGGGAAGGAGGCTGGATTGTTGGGCTGGGGACTCTGAAGGACAGACCTGGGATCCCCCACAGTTTCCCAGCGATGAGGAAACAAAGATCTTCCAGGTTGTCCAGGAAAAGCCCACAGGGGCCATCCCCAAGGATCGGAGGCATTGGTAGAATAGACTGAGCCTTACTGAGGCTGAGACCCATCTCAGTTCCTCATGGGCTGAGGAGGTGATCACCTCCATTACCAGTCTGCCTATCAGAAAAGGAGACCTGTCTTTGGAAGATCATAGCTTCTGAATGTTTTAGATACAAATATCTATAATACAATAAACAAGTTATTAGGCATGGTGAGAAGCAAGAAATTATAACCAAACCAGGGAGAAATAAATCCAGATAAAGGAGATCCAGATAATTGAGTTAGCAGGCAAGGACTTTAAAATAAGTGATTAATATGTTTAAGGTATTAAAGGAAAAGATAAATAGAGAATTTCAACAAAGAACTGGAATCTGTAAAAATGGAGTAGACTTTCTACAGATGAAAAATACAAAATCCGAAATGAAGAGCATGATAGATAGGTTTCACAGTGATTTGGACACAGTAGGAAACAGTGTTAGGAACAGGAAGGAAGATTCATTAATAATGCCCAGAAGCACAAACGGGGGGAAAATGTAAAATAAAGATACAACTTTAGGAGATATTTGACATGTGAAACTGTTCTAACCTATGTTAGCTAAGGAGGAGAGACAGAGAAGGAGATAAATAGGAATAGAAATATTCAGAGAAATGACACACTGTTCCAAAACTGATGAAATACATCAACATATTGCAAAAGTTCTCCGGACTCTAAACAGAATATAAATAAAACCATTTCCAGGCATCTCATAGCAAAAATTTTGGAAACTTAAAATAATGATAAAAGTACCAAGAGACAAAGAGACACATTATCTTCAAAGGAGCGACAACTGATCACGGACTTCTCGACAAAAATTATGGAAACCAAAGACAACAAGAAGAAATCCTTCAAGTAAAGGAGAACTGCTCACCCTGGGCTCTTTCCCTGGTGAATACATCCTTTAAGACTGAATGCAAAACGAATATGTTCTCCTATGAAAACCAAGGGAACTTGTCCCCAGCAGAGCAGACCTGCACCGAATGACACAGTAAAACTAGTCCTTCAAGCAGAATGAAAATAATCCCAAGTAAAACAGGAAAATGCAAAAGGAAATGAAGAACACTACCAAGATTATATACACGACCATGGACTCTACAAAACAGTGAACGTAGTGCCTCCTGGGATGTGACTTCTATGTCAAATACAAATGTGTAATAGCAAGTAAGCAAAAGACAGAAGGAGGTAAATTGAATTCAAATGTTACAAGGTTCTGGGCAATACTAAAAAGTGGTAAAGATGTTAATTTGCATAATTGACCTCTAGTCTAATACATGCCATGCTCTCTGAGGCCATCATGAAAATAATAGTGACAGAATGTAGAAATCATAAGCTAATAAGGGAATGTTAATGAATAGTTCGTCCAAAAGGAAACAAGAGAGGAAGAGAAACATAAAATGATGGGTGGAATGGCAAACTAAGAGTCAGGTGTTTGATATAAACCCAACTGTATCAGTAATTATACTAAGTGTAATTTAAGATTGCCAGACCGGATTTAAAAAAAAAAAAACAAAAAACAAAAAACTATCTGCTTTACAAGAGACCCAATTTAATGATAAGAACACTGAATGGTCAGACGTAAAAGATGGAAAAATATACTTTGCAAACAATTACCAAAAATAAATCAATAAATAAAAACAGCTCATGCAATTCTATTAGTATTAAGGCGTATATATGTAAGGTAGGAGAGTACATAATGACAAAGGGGGTCAGTTCAACAGGAATCTATCACAAACTACGATCTATGAACACTTGAAAAAAAGCTTCAATCCACACATTGTTAAAAATGGACAGAAAGAAAAATAGACAAATCCATGATTATAGTTTGAGAATTCTACATACCTGTTTCAATAGCTGATAGAACAAGCAACCACAAGGAATATAGAAGCAACAGTTAAACTTTAAAAAACTGATATATTTTCATATAAACATATTTCATTCAGTGCTCTTAAGAGCACGGAACCCTGAAAAACTTTTTTTTTCAAGGGTGCATGGAACATTGTATTCTGGGCTCTAAATCACAGTATATCGCAGCAGACTGAAATAATTCGGAGCGTGCTTTCTAATGGCGATGGAATTAAACTAGACACCAAATAACAAAGAGGTAACCGGAGAAGCACTTTCTAGGAAACTTAAGCTCCACTAGCACCTAAGCCCCCTGGGTCAAAAATGAGAACTAACATGGTGGAACAAAGGATAAATTTTACATATGAGCATCTTAGAGGAAAAACCCATGTAAAAGCTTTACTTACTCTAAGAGCACCATCTATCATTTTTTGAGTGCCTAAGTACTGTGCCACTGGCTAGGTATTTGATGTGCCTTATCCTTTTTCCAGCGTCATTTGACGTAGATACAGGAAGCAGAAGTAAAGGACACACAACCTGTGAGTGCATGGGGCAAAACGTGTGTTGGTGGAACTGGCACTATGCTAAAATGTGTTGCTTCAGGGACAAGAACTGTGGGGAATAACTTACCTCAGTTATACCTCTCCTTCCTTATAATAATGTCATAAAATCTGCTTTGTTTTTATCTTCATTACACACATGAGAACACCGAAGCTTAGCAGAATTAGAGAACTTGACCATAGTTTCTAGTGTGTGGTGAAATGGGTCGCCCTACTTGGCGCTGCCTTAGGAAGGAATTTGCAAGCCACGCGAAGTCAAAAAGGCACTGAAGACCTAAAATTGTGCCAAGTTTTTAGATTTGTGATTCTTGTAACAGGATCTTAACGGAAGCTGCAAATTCAGATATTTGTTACCTGACCTAAAATCCAACGAGGAACTAAATTAGGATATGTAAAGTTGGTAGCCAGCACAAGAGGAAAAAGTTATTTTATTCAGGTTGACTTTATTATGTGAAAAAAGAAGTAAAGCAAAGACGTTTCCGAGGTCGCTAACATGCCAGAAAGCATTGGAAAAAGGAACTATGTTGTGATTATCTCTGTCTGTCCAGTGTTGTTCTTTGGTCTTGGCATAAGCAAAGGAAGACATTTTGTGAGAGAAAACATCTCAATTTGGGGTGTGTCACAGGCTGAGATTACTACCAACTCTGACTTTGGTTTCCTTTCTTTACACAGAAAACAGTTCACGAACCTCAGTACTGCTTTGGTGCAAACCCACTTTAACTGGCTGTGGGTATCATTTATATCAGAGCAAAAACAATGTGGCATTTCAGGTCCTTGGGAAATTCACAATAAGACTTGCTTTCCTAAATGTCAAATTTAAGTGTTTTTAGGAAGAAAGGGAGAAGTCACAGAGCAAGCAGTTGGTTCCTAAATCTTAACTTGACAGCATTATTTAGCTAATTTTTGTACAATTCTCTTCCGCAGAAAATTCCCAGATTTCTAAGGGCATGCCAACAGTTCAGAAGCCTTCAATGGCAAGTGTTCCAAGTACGAAAGTCCCATCAGCTCCTCAGAAAACCACCACAGTGAATGTTCCAGGTACTAAAGCCCCATCACCGCCTCATAAAGCCACCACAGTGAATGTTCCAGGTACTGAAGCCCCATCAACTCCTCATAAACCCACCACAGTGAATGTTCCAGGTACTGGAGCCCCATCAACTTCTCAGACACCCACCACCACAAATGTTCCAGGTACCAGAGTCCCATCAGCTCCTCAGAAACCCACCACCATAAATGCTTCAGCTGCAAAGGCCCCATCAGTTCCTCAGAAATTCAACACAGTAAATGTTTCAGCTACAGAAGTCCTTTTACCTCCTCAGAAATCCAACACAACAAATGCCTCAGCTACAAAGTCCCCCTCAACTCCTCAGAAACCTGACACAATAAATTCTTCAGCTACAGAAGCCCTACCAACTCCTCAGAAACCCAGCATAGTAAATGTTTCAGCTACAAAGGCCCCATCAACTTCTCAGAAACCCAACACACTAAGTTCTTCAGCTATGGAAGCCCTACCAACTCCTCAGAAACCCAAC